CCTCACCCTCCACAGCACCTCCACCTGCACCTGCCATCTTGGGCAGCAACGTCTTTCTCCTTCCTTTGAACATGGTTCCCATGTGCAAAGCCAATTCTCAGAAGCCCTGGGCCCCTGACAAGCTAGCTTAATTATAAAGAAAAAAAAAATCATCCACATAAAAAAATTAGTTGCCAGATAATGTTTGTTTTTGAAAACTTTGCCAGTATTTTAAACCAGGCGTGGTGGCACACACCAGTAGTCCCAGCTACTTGGGAGGCTGAGGCAGGGGGATTGCTTGAGCCCAGGAGTTCAAGGCTGCAGTGAGCTATGGATGTATCACTGCACTCCAGCCTGGAAAACAGTAAGACTCTGTCTCAAAAAATAAAAATAAAAATAAATCTTCTAATAGATGTACGAAGTGGTATCTCCTTGTGAAAAAAATAGAAAAAAAAAAAAAGAAAAATGTACTAGTATTTTAACCACGCAAGGAGACATACAAGAGAATACAAATAATTAAATGATACACAACTCTATGTTCACCTAGGAAGCTCCACTTTATTTAAAAAAAAAAAAAAAAATTGGTACATACTGTTTTGTATGCATTTTAACAGGATTCTTAAAGGAGCCAGCAATCTAAGTTCAGCTGGTGAGCTTGGATAAATATCTTTACCTCTCCAAGCCCAACTTCCTCATCAGTAAAATAAGGACAATGAAAACATCTCTAAAGTTGTATTAAACAAGACAACGCCAGGAGCAGTGGCTCATGCCTGTAATACTAACACTTCGGGAGGTTGAGGCGGGAGCATCACTTGAGCTCAGGAATTCAAGACCAGCCTGGGCAACATAATGAGACCTCGTCTCTACAAAAAGTTTAAAAATTAACCAGGTGTGGTGGCATGTGCCTGTAGTCCCAGCTACCTGGGAGACTGAGATGGGAGGATCGCTTAAGCCCGAGAAGTTAAGGCTGCAGTGAGCTATAATCATGCCACTGCACTCCAGCCTGGACAACAGCGAGACCCTGTCTCAGGAAAAACAAAACAAAACAAGAAAAACCAAGATATTGTTTCTAAAGCACCTGGCATAGCATGTATCAGGCACTCAAGAAGAGATAGTCATTATTACGAGTCTAGTAATGTTGATAACAACGGGGTTATTACAAGCAAGAATTCTTGACAGTCATGGGATGGAAAGCAGGCTATTTTTAGGCAGACAGAAACTATAATCTGGCAAGCCTGTGCTCTTGATTTATAAAAGTCTACTGTATCGACCAAAGGATTCACCCAAAACCAAGACAGGACTTTAAAATATCTCATACCAGAAATGTGCTTTGCTTTGGTATATTCCTAACTCTATCTGGGTATGCCTTTTTATAAAAGCCTCGCGCTGTTGGATTGCTGAATTGGACTATTAACATATTCGTATAACAAAGGGTAGAAGGCTGGTATGCCCCCCTATTCCTTTTAAACATGTTCCTCCCTCAGAAATCATGTTCAGCTGCAACAGGAGAAGGGCAGGAGCCCCGAATTTGGGTCTTCCTACTCCCAGGGAAGTTCTCTTCCCCTCCAGTTGGCTCAGGGGCTCTTTCCAGCTCTGAAATTCCATGATTCCATGATTCGGTTTGTCCCAGGGAGCGGCCCTGGCAATGAGACTTTCGTGTGTGGTCATTAAATACTCACCATGGTGAAGCCTGACTGGAAAGTTCCAGAAACACACCCTCTAGACAATCTCACCATCCAGACGCACCAGAAAACGCAGCCCACGTCTGTCAAACTCTCTCATGCATGCATAGGCTGTGAAGCCCAGGATTAAGCTCTGGCTGGTGAACCCCACAGTCCAGCCACACTGTGTCACCAACAGGCAAGAAGCCAGACCCCCAAACAGCTGAAGTCATCATTTCTGAAAGCTGGGAGCACCCCGCTGCATTCCCCGATTCCTGTCCAAACAGCCATTTGACAGAGTGGCCCTCCCATCTAATATTCATTTCTGTGTCATTAAAAAAAAAATCACACTGACTTTAATACACTTTTTCCCCGTGGATGTGAAGTGAAGCAGGAAGACTGCCCGCGACTGGTATACATCTGCTGGAGAACACAGACTAATGATCATATTTTCCCTAAAGAGAAAAATTTAAAGGTCAAGCACGAATGACTAGCAGCATGCACTGGAAGTAACCCAGCAAAGTGAAATTCACAGCGCAGGAAGCCCCAAAACAGGGAAGGCTGGGAGGAGAGGGAAGACAAAGATGGGCACACACACACAGACACACACGTGCACACAGGTACACACATGCCCACACACACACGCACACAGAATGGTGCGATGACTTATGCTCCAGCTTTTAACCAAGCAGGCAGTGCAAAGGCCCAATTCACCTTAGATCACCCTGCTGCCTAACAATGGTGCATCCGTAATTACAACCCAAGGCACCCCGAAGGGAGGAGGGAGGTGGGTCAGCAGGAAGTCTGTGGTAGGAGGCCTGTTCAGTTTCCACTGTTTCTATTTGCAGCTCAAGCACTCATGATAAGCCCCGCTGATCACAGATGCGTTGTGGTTACGAATGTTAAAGTTGCTTTGGGCTTGAATTCAAGGCTCCCCACAGACCCACTCCTAAGCCTGGCAATGTCAGGGAACACAGACAGGTGCCCGAGTCAGTCTACCTTCTGCAGAGAAGGTTTAAACCGATTGTTTCTGCCATTGTCACAACTGCACAGACACTGAACAACCCTGAAGTTGAGGCTGGGTGTCAGATGGCCAGTTCACCCTCTGCGGTGAGCAGAAGGCCAGGAACAGCAAGGTTCCCAAAGGCCGTGGATCCTTCTTAGGACCGGCAGCCCCTCCGAGCCCCGCTCCCTGCAGCTGCAGCCCTCCTGACATGGGGATGCATGCCACTCTTCTTGCCCACTGTGCACTTTCTAAGATGAAATACAAAGTCTCCGGAGGTGCCCCCTGTAAGTTCTCCACTGAAATCATTTGCTGTCATGCCTTCATGTTCCAGATTTTTTAGAAGAGTCAAGCTTCCAGAGACGTGTTTCTCGAAGCAAGGTCAGAGAACCCCCTGCAGCAGAATCGCCTAGGATGTGTCTGTTAAACAGATTCTGAGGTCCCATGGCTGCATTTTGAGTGAGACTCCGGTGATTTCTAAGCACATGAACCTCTGAGGCCCGCTGTCCTGGAGCAACAATTCCAAAAAGTATTTCCAAGGGTGCTCCAAATTTCTGGGGTAAGTTTTAAAGACACACATTTCTGGACCCCACAGCCTACTACAGTCTGCCCCCACACTTCCCTAATTCTGAAATAGACAGTCCAGAGAATTTAACTCCCCAGACAGCACCCGGGTGTGTAAGCCTGGTGACACTCGGGCCACATTTCCCAAGGCAAGCAGTCCTCACTCCCTTCCCACCCTTTTCCAATAACCCCCACATCCTTCATGTCTTAGCTTCAACATGGCTTGCTCAGGAGAGAGCCTTCCGTGACCACTATCCCCGTCCCAGCTGCCAACACTCATCCTTGCTATGTTCTCTCTTGACACCCTGTCCATTTTTGTATAACTTACCGCCATTGTTACTAAATAGGTACCTGCTTAATTGTTTAATATCTGATCCTCCACTAGGGTGATAACAATCATACATATGTATCACTGACCACTTACAATGTCCCTGGGTTGTGCCAAACACTTACCCTGCATGAGCTCATTAAATGCAGACGTCACCATAACCCTGCAAAGTAGACACTCCTGTATACCCATTTTATAGTGAGAACATTGTAAGTTTGCCAGGTCTGCCTTGCCACCTCCATATCTCAGGTCTAAATAGTATCTGCACAGGGTACGTACTCAGTAACTATTTAATCAATAAATGAAGTGGGACCTCTCTAGTCCCCAAAAAAGATTCTGTGGTTGTGCAAGTTTAAGAAATTCTGGGTTAACTGGGGTTCTTAACGGCAGGACTTCCCAGAGCACTGGATATGTCAATGTGATCGTGAATCGTCACGACGGGGCTGACCCATATGTCATCTCAAGCCAAGGACACCTGTTCCCAGGAACCTGCACACAGCTCTCCAAGCCCACGCTCTCCCTCCTTGGCAATGACCCACTGAAAGATGATTTGTCTCTGCTGCCCCCTCCAGCCACTAACCAGGAGAGGAACCATTAGGAAATGAGTCAGTCTGACCATGATGCCATCTAATCTCATCCCATCTTACACCATTTCCCAACAATGGCAAAAAGAAGATCTAGATGCAGGTGACTTTGTAGCAGTAGAAACAGCACACCTTGGCAGACAGTAGTAGAAACAAACAGAGACTGTAGAGTGAAGCAGGCCCAGGTTGAGATCCTCCCTGACCCCAGCAGTGGGCCCTCCACTTGCAGAAGAAGCTACAGAGTCTACATCCCTGCCTTTGCCTCCAGCCTCCTCCACCAGGCCAGCTTCATCAGCAGGTAAGAAGAGCCACAGTCCTCCCCGACCCCAGGCCTCACACCGGTCATTCACCTACTCATCTGTTCCTTTCAGTCACCTAATGACAAACTCACTAAGGGGGCGTGCCAAGGAATAAATACATGTGGAGCTTGTGGAGCAGAATACTGAAGAAGAGACATAAAACAAACTCAGGTACCCCTTACTCTCCAAAAGCAGGAACCAAAGAGATGCAGGTAACATTGGGGAGTTTGTATCTGAACTCTCTTCTCTTATTATCCAAAATCAGCAGGCTGAATGAATCACATCCTGAGGGATTGCTGCATGGACAAATGAAGTGCAATGAAAAAAAAGTCAAAGTGCATGGGGAGGCTGGGCACGGTGGCTCACACCTGTAATCCCAGCACTTTGGCAGGCCAAGGTGGGCCGATCACCTGAGGTCAGGAGTTCAAGACCAGCTTGGCCAACGTGGCAAAATCCTGTCTCTACCAAAAATACAAAAATTAGCTGGGCATGGTGGCCAGCACCTGTAATCCCACCTACTGGGGAGGCTGAGGCAGGAGAATCTCTTGAACCCAGGAAGCAGAGGCTGCAGTGAGCCGAGATCACGTCACTACACTCCAGCCTGGGCAACAGAGTGAGACTCCGTCTCAAAAAAAAAAAAAAGAAAAAAAAATGCATGGGGAGAGACTGTAACCAAGGGACCTGCCTTCAGAAACTAGGAAGGCTATACGAGGAAACAACATAGGACCTGAGGGGAAAGCCCTCCAAACGGAGAGAATGGCAAGTGCAAATGTGTGACATGGCAAGAGCGTGGTGCTTATAAGGCATTGAAAGAAGGCAGAGTGGCACGAGTCCAGTTGGGCAGAGGAACAAGGAAGTGAGACCAGGCAGACCTAGGTGAGGCAGGACCTTGAAGTCAGGCTAAGGATTCTGGTTTCTATTCTGGGTGGAATGAGAAGTCATGAAAGGCTGGCCGGGAGTGGTGGCTCACGACTGTAATCCCAGCACTTTGGGAGGCTGAAGCAGGTAGATCACTTGAGGTGGAGGTTGCAGTGAGCTGAGATCTCACCACTGCACTCCAGCCTGGGTGACAGAACAAGACACCATCTCAAAAAAAAAAAAAAAGAAGAGGAGGTCATGAAAGGGTAGGTGTGGGTGTTACTAAATGGATCATTCAACTAAGGGTGTGAAGAATGGATGTGGTTGGAAGGGTGTGGAGAATGGATGTGGTTTGAAGGGTGTGGAGAATGGATGTGGTGTGAAGGTGTGGAGAATGGATATGGTGTGTAGGGTGTGGAGAATGGATGTGGTGTGGAGGGTGTGGAGAACGGATGGGGTGGGAAGGGTGTGGAGAATGGATGTGGTGTAGGTGTGGAGAATGGATGTAGTGTGAAGGGTGTGGAGAATGGATGTAGTGTGAAGGGTGTGGAGAATGGATGGAGTGTGAGGGGTGTGGAGAATGGATGGGGTGGGAAGGGTATGGAGAATGAATGCGGTGTGAAGCGTGTGGAGAATGGATGGGCTGTGAAGCGTGTGGAAAATGGATGGGGTGAGAAGGGTATGGAGAATGGATGGGGTGTGGAGAATGGCTGGGGTGTGAAGCATGTGGAGAATGGATGGGGTGTGAAGCGTGTGGAGAATGGATGGGGTGTGAAGCATGTGGAGAATGGATGGGGTGTGAAGCGTGTGGAGAATGGATGGGGTGTGAAGCGTGTGGAGAATGGATGGGGTGGGAAGGGTGTGGAGAATGGATGGGATGAGAAGCGTGTGGAGAATGGATGGGGTGAGAAGGGTGTGGAGAACAGATGAGGTGTGAAGTGTGTGGAGAACGAATGGGGTGAGAAGGGTGTGGAGAATGGATAGGGTGTGAGGGCTGTGGAGAATGGATGGGGTGTGAAGCGTGTGGAGAATGGATGGGGTGTGAAGCATGTGGAGAATGGATAGGGTGTGAGGGGTGTGGAGAATGGATGGGGTGTGAAGGGTGAGCATGTGAGGATGCAGGAGTCCAGTTGTGCAAAAAACCCACGGAAATGTGACAGTGGCTTGGAGCGGTTTGGTGGCAGCAGGGACGGAGAGTTGTGGATGAAATCTGAGAGAATTTGGAGATATTGCACCAGGAAGCATGTGGGTATCAATGAACTACATGAAAGGATGTCCAAGTTCTTCTTAAGTTGAGCTGAGGTTAGAAACCATGAATCTATCGTGACCCGAATCAGCATTGTTTCAGACAGGATGACTTTCTCCCATGCTGACTCTGGGCCAAGTCTATGAGAACCGCCTTCTGTTCCAAAAAGTACGCAGAGACTTCAGACATGAAGCCACTAAAAGACAGAAAAAGTGAGGACATTTTTAAGACATTAGAGTCTATTGGGGGGATGCACGGACTCTGGAGTGAGTTGGGCCCGAGCTGAAATCTGCAACCTTGGGTAAGTGGAATGAGTTCTCTGAGCTGCTGTCTTTGTCCATAATGTGAAGGTAACATGTAACTTATGAGGTCATTGTGAGAATTTGAGGCAAATGTGTGTGAAGCTCTGGGCACACACTAGGTCCTCCATAATTGTCAGCTCTTATTACAATAATTCCTACCTTGCTCAAAGGACCAAAATCTTGTCTCATCGATCTAAGCAAGCAGAACCACGTTGGAGTTCTGTGAGCCTTTCCTCTGTGGGAAAAGCCAAAATGACACTGAGGGTGGGGGAAAGGGAAGGGAGGCAGTGGCCACTTGGTCTAGGAAAATGGTGAGCCCACTTGCCTAGAAATAAAGCCATGTGGATGTAAAGGATGTGCCTGAACTTAAAAGAAGTAAACACCAGCTGCCCATTTGACATGGCCTCCTTTCATTTTTGGGGGGCTCCCCGTTTGATGTGGCTCTGGGACCCAGCCGGCCCCAGGTGGCAGAGCAGCCTCCACTGGCTCATAAATACCCAGGGCTACCCCAGATGACACACCGTCTTCAGCAAAGAGAAGGGATGGGGGAAGGCAAAAGGAAGGCAGAAGGTAGTGAGGAATAGGAAAAAAAAAAAAGCCATACATTCTTTATATCAGCAATGATGTATCCAAAAATAAAATCAAGAAAACAATCCTGGGGAGGCTGAGGTGGGTAGATCATTTGAGGTCATGAGTTTGAAACCAGCCTGGCCAACATGGTGAAACTCCATCTCTACTAAAAAAATAAAAATAAAAAATAAAAAAAATTAGCCAGGCATTGTGGCGGGCTCCTGTAGTCCCAGCTACTCGGGAGGCTGAGGCAGGAGAATTGCTTGAACATGGGAGGTGGAGGCTGCGTGCCACTGTACTCCAGCCTGGGCAACGAGAACAAAACTCTGAAAAAAAAAAAAATGCAAGAGAAAGGAAGGGAGGAACAGAGGGAGGGAGGGAGGGAGGGAGGGAGGGAGGGAGGAAGGAAGGAAGGAAAGAAAGAAGGAAGGAAGGAAGGAAGGAAGGAAGGAAGGAAGGAAGGAAGGAAGGAAGGAAGGAAGGAAGGAAGGAAGGAAGGAAGGAAGGAGGGAAGGAGGGAAGGAGGGAAGGAGGGAAGGAGGGAAGGAAGGAAACAATCCTATTTACAATAACATCAAAAAGATACTCTTTTTTCAAGTCATAGACGAGTAAATACTCTGTTCACTTGGATGAGACATTTAGGTATCAGAAACCCCAGAGCCCTTTCCAAAAATGCCTTCCCTTTCTTGGCCAATCTTTGCCATTTCTGATATCGTTGCCCCCACCATCACGTGCGAGAATCCGTGACCGCTCCCTATAGAAGGAAGCCACGAGCTGGAACAGTGGGCTCAGGTGACTGCAGCCAGGTTTGGTTTTTGAAACCATTTCTTTCAGTGACTTAAAAAACCTGGGTCAAATTCTAAAAATTGTAGAGTCTGACAGTAGATTATTTTTTTAAGTGATAACTTATTCCAGCACACCCAGCTGGGAAGGTCAATACAAGGAAGCAACATTAAATAGGACCTGAAGGAAAAGCACTCCAAGCACAGGGAATGGCACGTGCAAAATGCGTGACATGGCAAGAGCGTGTAAGGCACTGAAAGAAGGCAGAGTGGTGCAAGTCCAGCTGGGCAGGGGAACAAGGAAGTGGGACCAGGCAGGCCTCAGTGAGGTGGGACCTTGAGATCAGGCGAAGGATTTGGGTTTCTCTTCTGGGTAAAATGAGAAGTCATGAAAGGCTGTACCTTTGCAATGTTACCGCAGAGCAGAAAGGCAGCTCTCTTCCCGTTTCATAGCTGGAAAGTACGGCACAGAGAGGTTAAGTGACCTCTGCTGAGTCACATCCCAGCACAGGGGCGAAGCTAAGAAGCCACATCCCCTGACTCCAACTGGAAAGAATCCCTGCTGGGTCAAGGCAAGAAATGTGTTCCTTCAGACTGCAGTAATTTCCCAGGGCTGCTATAACAAAGTGCCACAAACTTGGTGGCTTAATACAATAGAAATGTATTCCTTCATGGTTCTGGAGACCACAAGTCCAAAATCAAGATGTTGGCAGACCCATGCCCTCTCTGAGGCCTCTAGAGAAGGATCCTTTCTTGTTTCTTCCAGCTTCTGGTGGCTCCTGACATTCCTTGGCTCGTGGGAGCATCACTCCAGACTCTGCCTCCATTATCACATGGTCTTATGTGTGTTTCTGTGCCTCTTCTCCTCTTATAATAAGGACACTAGTCATACTGGATTAAGGGCACACTGTCCTTTAATATGACTTCTTTTTTTTTTTTTTTTTTTTTTTGAGACAGAGTCTTGCTCTGTAGCCCAGGCTGTGGTGCAGTGGCATGATCTCGGCTCACTGCAAACTCCACCTCCCGGGTTCAAGCAATTCTCCTGCCTCAGCCTCCTGAGTAGCTGGGATTACAGGCACCCGCCACCACGCCCGGCTAATTTTTTGTGTTCTTTACTAGAGACAGAGTTTCACCATCCTGGCCAGGCTGGTCTCAAACTCCTGACCTCGTGATCCACCTGCCTTGGCCTCCCAAAGTGCTGGAATTACAGGCAGGAGCCACTGCACCCAGCTGACTTCGTCTTAACTAACTATACCTGCAATGCCCCTATTTCCAAGTCAAGTCACATTCTGAGGTTCCAGGAAGGACATGAATTTGAGGGGGACACTATCAACTCAGCGCACTGACTAAGCAGATGTTTATGAAATATAGGCCCAAATTCAATAAGGGCTGAGAGCACTGACCAACTAAAGTATAGAACCTTTTGCAGCAGAACTCTTGGTTGACCCCCAGTATCCATTCTCTGTCTTCCTTTAGAATAAAGAAAACACAAGTTTCTTTTACATGACCACACAGAACAAAGACAACCTTTCCCAGCCTCCCCTGCAGACAGAAATGGCTGGAGCTAAGTGAGATTTAAGCAAAAGTGATGGATCCAAGGGGAATGCCCTCGCTGGACCTCTCTCCCTCTCCCCACTGGTAGGACATGGTGGTGAGCCATCTTCAACAAGTGGCATGCTTACACGAGAAAAATATGTTCTGCGGCTTCTTCAAGCCATAGGAACACATTTGTCTTCTAGCAACAGGAGGTAAACAGAATCAAAAGTTCATGTGGCCATTTTCAGTCCAAATAGGTTTTCCCAGTGGCAAAAACCTCCAAACATACTACCTGCTACCTAAGAATGCAAGACTTTCAAAAGCGAATTATATATTTTTTTACCTCTTGCCTCTCTTGGTTCTGTTATTCATCAGAAAAACAAGATCAGATACCTATCTTGGATAACGGCATCTTCAGTTTTCTTTGAGAACCACCCTCTCCCACTCCCAGCCTTACTCTCAAACTGGGCATGTGATCCCAGCCACACCAATGAGATTTGCTCACTCAACACATCTTTATTGAACACTTGCTGTAAGACAGGCACCGTTGTAGGAGCTGGGGATGACAGTAAACAAAATATAAAAACCCCTGCCCTTAAGAACTTCACATTCCAGGGCTTTTGTGGAAACTGCTGGAAAAAAGAAGTACCCTCTCTTTCTACTGGGACTGCTCAAAGGCTGGGATGGAGGCTGGAACCACAGGCAGCCATCTTGCCACCATGAGGAGACAGACACAGCACGAACAATCACATCCTAGGGTGCTTGGACTCTGCCACACTGAGTTTGGCTCAGTTCCCTGAGCCAAAAAAAAAAGGGGGGCACTTTTTTTTGCTTAAAGCAATTTGAATTAGGTTGGGAAAGGAAGGAGTTGCATCCAATTCCTACCAATACCTTAAGAGTCCCTCAGAAAGATATCTGAGGCAAGTTTGGAAATGCCAAGTAAAGACAGGTGACTCTTTTGAAAATGGCTTTTCCTTGGGCATGCCTTGGAAATGCACTGTTTAAAGGTTCCTACCATGTTATCATTTCCAGTTTTAAAAACCTCCTTTTCAATAGCTCCCTAGAATGAAGGCACCAGTTCACTGCCTCTTCCACTATGCGTTAAGAACCAAACCATGTCATCACATACCCCAAATGACCAGAGACTAGATGGTTCCAATCACCTCCTGAAAGTCTTGAAATTGCCTGCTGCTGCCGCCAATGGCCACAGGGAACACCACCCTTATTTCCCAAAAGGCCAAATCCCACCGGTTTTCCTCAAGCTAGTGACTGTGTCCCAACATTTCTGATCATTGCTTTCCTTCCCAGGCAAGAACCTCCATGCTCTGGGGCCCCGTGAATACTTAGCTGTTAACAGGAACAGCCTGAACTAGACTTACAGATAACCGAAGCTAATTGACCACATCCTACTTAACAGGAAACCTAATAGACAGCTATTTTAGACTTATTCTCACTTCCCCTCATCCGCTTCCACCTCAGCACCCTGTTGCTGGGAAGTCAGGGTGTACATAAAAGAGACTATGGGGAAGGGGTCAGTGGAGACTCCAGAGTGCAGATATAAAAAGGCTTAGGGACGTGGACCTGGTGGAAGAGAGGTGCTGGCACTGCATTCGCATGGCAAATATCGCATTTTTACTTACAGTGTATTTTGGGGTCATCTGGTATGGGCTAGTGGAAATCATTTTTTAAAGTTTAAGAAATGAAAATAATAAAATTAAAATATACCCAGGCCTTCCTTCCTTCTGGAGAGATAAGTAACAGAAATATTACACAGGAAGCTCCATCTGCCGTGTGTGTGTGTGTGTGTGTGTGTGTGTGTGTGTGTGTGTTTAACTATCAGCAATGTCTTTCACTTTTGCAAGAGGAAAGATACAGTTTGCGTTATGGGTTTGGTTTGGTTTTTCTCTCCCTGTCTCCCACCCCCACTTCCTGTTAGGGGGGTTGTTTCCCAAACTCGAGAGCACCATTAACACAGAGCTCCCTAAAGAGGCTTCATTCTCAGGATGCTGCCAGCCATTACCCTTCTAAGAGTCACAGGAGACCTGTGAAGAGCTCTTAGGCCTTCTCACTAAATGAACTTCCTCGTAACTGAATTCCTTTCTCCCATCAGTTGAGGACCATTGAGTGCACAATGTTTCCTAGAGCTATCATTGTGTCTTCCCAACTGTAGAGCGATTGTCCCTTTTCCTTTCAGCTCAAGGATCGTTCCTTGTCTTCATCCATTTGGACCGCTGTATCAAAATATCTTGCACTAGGTGGCTTGTAAACTACAGAAATTTATTGCTCACAGTTCTGGAGGCTGGAAAGTCCAAGATCAAGGCACTGGCAGATTTGGTGTCTGCAGAGATCCCACTTCCTGGTTCTCACTGTGTCCTCCCACGGCACAAGGGGTAAGGTCTCTCTGGGGTATCTTTTATAAGGGCACTAATCCCATTCATGAGGGCTCCCTCATGACCTAATCACGTCCCAAAGACCACCACCTTCTAAGGGCCTCACACTGGGGAGTAGGTTTCAACCTATAAATTAGGGAGAGAGGCAGCATTTAGACAATAGGGTTTCTCCATATGTTTTTCCTCGTCAATCACAAAAAGAAATTTTCCTCACAGATGCTAGCCCACGCTTTGCAGAGAGAAGTTCTCATTACAGCACTTTGAGTCAGATGAGCCAGGGCATCCCAGCTCCACCAATAACTCGCTGTGTTACCTTAAGTTAATTACAAAACTTCTCTGAGTCCCACCTAAAAATGAGGATAAGGCCAGTCCTCCTCGCCAGGCTGTGGAGAAGACTAAATGATTTAACACCTGTAACGG